CTGCTCCTAGATTCCCAAATTTTCCATCATCTGACATCACCAATGCTTATAAATATCTAAAGGGCAGGCGTCAAGAGGATGCAGCCAGGCTCTTTTCAGCGGTACCCAGTGACAGGACAAGGGGCAACAGGCACAAACTGGAACACAGGAAATTCCGTCTCAACATGAGAAAAAACTTCTTTACTTTGAGGGTGGCAGAGCACTGGCACAGGCTGCCCAGAGAGGTGGCAGAGTCTCCTTCTCTGGAGCTGTTCAAAACCCACCTGGATGCTTTCCTCTCCAACCTGCTCTGGGTGACCCTGCTCTGGCGGGGGGGTTGGACTGGATGATCTCTGAAGGTCCCTTCCAACCCTGACCATTCTGTGATTCTGTGGTTCTGTGAAATCCTAGTCCTGTATTACTCTTGGTGAAGGAGTTTCACTTGTTCTAAGTAGAGCTCCCTCTTGGTTATTTTGATGTGACATTTATAATCCAAAGCCAATTAACTCTTTCTCCCCCAATTTCAATGTAGGAGCCTCTGCACTGGCAATGGTATTAAAGATTTCTGTGCTTAAGTAAGGTGAAGGGAAATTAAATTATCAGTCATACTACCTGCATGTCCATCTACCTATAGATACCTTTTTCCATTATTACTAGCAGCAAATTAAGGCTGCAAACACCAGTCACATCTAAACATGTGGGGAAAGCTGGTGACAAAGTGGGTGCAAAGATAGACCTTCACTTATTGAGCCTAAGCAGAAGAGATCTCATTTTCTTTATGCTTACCTCATCTGTGACATCCTAGTGTGCCTCTACACCTCTGTCACTGACTGCGTGCTAAGCAAAGGCCGTGCAGCAGTGCCACTTGAGAGCAGCTGGAGATCGCTGTTCTCACCTGGGTACCACTGAATGTGGGTATGACCAAGAAAGTTTCGGGGTGTGAGGCATGTTCAGTTTCCAGTGTGGTGGTTTCCAATACCCATCCGAAGTGAGAACACGAGCTGCAGTTGCCTGGTCGTGTTACTGGGCTCAGAGGTGACAAACCTTACAGAAAGATCTCCTCCTGCCCCGCGCAACTTTTTGCTGCTCCAGTTCACGCTTTGCAGAATCAGTGCCTGAAGGAGCACATAAGGCAGTGAATAAGTTGAGGCCTGGACACGCTATCTCTGGGCATCACGCAGAGCGTGCACATCCGCTCTTCGCTCTGCCAGGACAGGGCAACAGAGAGCGTCCTTTCCTGGGCGTGAGATTTGTGTCTGCTCAGCCTCTGAACAGCCAGGCAGGAGGCACTGAGCTATGCACTGAGTAAATCTGAGAAAGTATCTCGTGGTCTTGTGTCAGAGTAGTAAGAAAGGGCTTACACAACCTGATAAGCCTGCAATAGTAGCTGACAGGACGAGAAATTGGGTTAGAAGACCCAGGAACACACAGCTATAGTCCAAACTCCATCTGGACATAGAGAAGATAAAAGCTTTGAAGTGTTTTTCTTCAGGGACTGGGAAGAACTTAATTTATTCTCTTGCAAAAAATGCTACAAAAGAATGCCAAGGATCAGTCTGCATTATCCTCCTCCCTCCTTTCCCTCCCAGAGAGGTCCACCTCCCACGGGGCTGGGAGAGGAGCCAGGACCTGGTTAGTGCGGGTGTGAAGGGTAACGTTGGACTTCATTATTGCTTGGGAGACAGTAACTAGGTGAGCTTCTCAGCCCAGCCACAAAACTCGTCTGAACAGAAGCCTGTCCCCAGGGTGGGGAAATTGTACTTTGTGTTGCCCAGTCCAACCAGATACCCTAAAAGTTACTGCTAAGAAAAAGAAATCATGCCTGATGCACCTAAGTGTTGTATTTCACCTGTCAGAGCAATGCTAATCAAAACATAAAACCTGACAAGTCCTGAAAACTCCTCATTATGTATAAGTCGATTAAGGCATTGAGCAGATGCAAAGGGAATGTGAATCGCTTGAACTCCCATGCTATCAACCCAGAAACACTGACAGAGCTTGGTGCCAGGTCTTGAACCAGTTGACAGGCAATAATAAGGAATAATCTAGCTCCGCTGCCACCTTTCAAGGCTGATGACCTAATGAACTCCAGGAGTGTAGTTTAAGGATAAGGATGTCTTCCTAAACAGAACAAGATGAGAATGAGCAGCGCGGAAACAGCTGCAAAACCAAATCCCAGTGATATAGTGGGAACAGCTGGCTAAAGAAGCAGGTATCACTAAAATATTTTGAGGTCTGCAAACACTGGCCTTCCAACTGAAAGCTTACTTGCTACAAAACTATGCATAGCACTAATTTCCAAAAATTCATGTAAGGTGGTGGGTTCATGGGCTTTTAGAAGCATTAGCTTCCGACTGTAAGGGTGCAATGATCCTGGTGTTCATCTGGGAGTGAGGAGAGATTTCATGCATGTGTTGTTTTCTGCATGGCAGAACACCGTCACAGAAGAAAAAGTTCAGAGAATGAAGGAGCAATTCATGTCTGCCTACGACGTCACCACAGATGGACGCTTGCAAATCCAAGAGGTACCTCTCCCCAGCTCCATCCCGGGATTTCTTTTACAGAAGGAGGGAGAATTAGGACCTAGAGCAGACTTGGTAGGTATGGTAGATAGAGCCTGGGTGGGGAGGAGGTGAGTCATGGAGTGCTACATTAGCCAGATCTCTTGGTTTAGGGTTTATTTCCAAGGCAACAACATGCCCAGCTTTTATTGCCCATATTGAGTCAGCAGCCACCCAAGTTTTTTCATACCTTTACTTTCATGGTTTGGGTTTGTTTGGGGAGTTTTTATGCTTTTTTTTTTTTTTTTTTTCCAGCTTGCAAATATGATCTTGCCGGTTGATGAGAACTTTCTGCTGCTTTTCCGACGGGAAACTCCCTTGGACAACAGTGTGGAATTCATGCGGGTCTGTATCTCCACATTGTCTTTTCCCCTTGCACACCTATAGCTTCTTCAATATGCACACTTCCACCCTCTGTAGAACACAGCATGGGAAATACGTGGTTATTGTGGAAGCAAAACACGTTTTGACCTGTTCAGGTAGAGAAGGTTATATCGTTTTACCCTCATGCGTTATCCTGGCAGGGTGTACAGTAGAAATATCCATAAGCTGGGCCAACTGAGAAGCAAAAAACCCATAAGGTTTCCTTAACCATGCCCAATCTCTCTCTCCACTCTCTGCCCCTGAGTATCCCAGCACAAAATATCAATTTTTCCAAGACTGCTTGCAGTTAGTTTTATTTCACGCCCAAAGTGGGGACTTCCACAGATCAGTGGCGAGTTGTGTATGGACTTGACTTTTACTCATAAGAGAAGCTGCATGTACAAATTAGGTAAGAAACACAGAGGGGTTTCTTAGTCTTCTTCCTTTTATAGACAGTGTGTCTGCATTAAATATGTGATAGCGGCACGTACATGTACAGCATCCAAGTGAAAGTAAAAGCTATTGTGTGGAAAGTTTATTTTATTTCTTTTACAATTAATTAAATATTGAATAATACAACAGCTTTCTTGTTATGGAAGTTCTGATTTGAATTTGTACGATCTATCACCCAAGCAGATATTAACTGCAATATTTATGTGGTCATATCAATCTATCTCCATTCAGATCTGGCGCAGTTACGATGCTGATAGCAGTGGATTTATTTCAGCTGGCGAGCTCAAAGTAAGTTAATTCTAACAAGTCTCTTTGGGCTTGATCTACAGCTCACTGATGTCAACGGGAGCCTTTCTGTCGGCTTTACCAATTTGCTGCCTTTTGTGTGGTTGACGAATGGCCTTTCTCGGTTGTTCACGGCGAGTTTAAGAACTGGGGACCCTCCAACCTTCTGGCATGGCTGCAGGGACCCTGCAGGGAAGGAGGATGCTCTTCTGTTTCCCTTGCTGTCCTGCTTCCCCCTCGCCCTGTCCCATTGACCCCACTTGTCTCAGTGCCCCCCGAGCACCCAAGGAGCCCCCCAAGCATGCCTTAACTTGGTTTTGCATATGTACCTCTCCCAGCTAAACAGAGCCAAAGCCATTGTGCTTTATTAATGGGATCTCTTCCCAAGCCTGCAGATTTTCTGAGCGCTGGTTTCTTTTTAAAGCTCAGGCTGTTGAGGCAGAAGCCTGTTCAGGAACCGTAACTCAAACACTCTGAGCCAGCCGGGCACAGAAGACTGTCCCTGGGCTGCAGACCCTGCACTGACCTCTCGGCGTGTGGCTCCAGCCTGTGCCCCAGTGAAGACGTAAAAGGATGCTTAAGTGTTTTGCTGAATGGCAAATATTTTGATTTGAGATCAGTTAACAAATATTGCAGGACTTAGTGTCATCTTTTGCTTATTTTGTGAGTTAATTATGACCTGTTCCAGTATGCCTGCTCTGGGTAAATTTGGTTATTTTCTAGTTTATTTGAAAAAATATGTTTCAACTAAAAGCCCATGAACTTTATGTGAAATTGCAGATGCTAGTACTAATCAGGAATGTGAAATTAGTTTCATGTAACCCTGCTGAGTTTAGATTGAATTTCTTACTGTTATTTCTTTAATTTACTCTAAGGAGAAATATTTGTCTCTTTTCTTACTGCAGGATTTCCTGCGAGATCTCTTTTTGCAGCATAACAAGATGGTTGCTGAAGTAAAGCTGGAAGAATATACTGATACTATGGTAAGAAAAGACAGTGTTGATATAGTTTAGATTATAGTACTGCCTAAAAATCTCCTTCAGGGTCAATGTCCGTAGGGCCATAAATGCCCTCTGAAAAGGTGTACCTTCTCCAAGAGATCCCTGTGGAGAGTTGGCACATGCTGCTGCTGTTTCTTTGCACTGCACTGGACATCAGCTGTGAACAGCATTTCCATATATTTTTGCTTTGAGTTGAACTGTTTATTATGAGAAAATAGCTCAACTTTGCGCCGGAGCAAACAGAGCCCTAAATCCATTTGAGAACAGTAGTTGAGGTCCGTTCTTTTTCAGGGTACGTTCAGCCTCAGCCAGATCTCCAGCTCCTTCCCTCCCTCCCTCCTAGCAAATCCTTTTGCTCCCAAGACACGTAGGTATCCGGCTCTTCTGCTCTGCAGAGCCCAGCAAGCCTTGTTGGCTCCCTGCTGCTTCCCTGAAAGGCTGGGAGGTTGAAAGCTTCAACTCTTCCCCTGCCTTATCACAATATAGTTTTTATCCCGCAATCAGCAACATAATATTTGGTGTAAGTTTAGCATCAGTCACCTGGATTTGAGAGCAACTTATTATAGCTAACCATCTGAAAACAAGAAAAGGAAAAAAATAAAAGCTCATTTCCGATCTCATTCTCAAGGGCATCATTTGAGTTCCACTAGCAAATATCTACCATTGCAATTTTCTAAATTATTTTCAGATGGGACTGCCTTGATTCTTGGCACAAAATTTGTGTTTGTACCTGAAGAACAGTTTGGTATACAAGCAAACAAGGAACTGCCTCCATATTTTGCAATACTGTGTTACATATGCATGATGCATCTGTGCCCAGAAATGTGAGTCTTTAAAGCAGAATGAAAAAACCCCGTACCATAACAGAAGAGTGTGGACTTTTCTTCGTATTTATAGGACAGTGAAGGGAGAAGAATCCAAGATACAGAAATAATTTTCCAACTGGCAGAGCTTGAAAACAATAAAACCCCATAAACTACAGCTAGAACAAAAACCTTGCTGGTAGTGCTTGCAGGTAGCAAATAGCTTTTGTGCCGCTCCATTAAGGTTTCCATCCCCAGTGGCTAATCTCTGATCAGGTGCTGGGGAATAGGCGATCCTTTCCTCCAACTTCTTTCCCTTTCCAATAATTTCCCAAGAAACATCTGCGATTCCTCCTGCCCCTACACAGCTAGATATCAATGCAGCCTGGGGCTGACAGCCAGGAGGTCTGGTTTCTATTCTCATGTTTTTTTATAGATTGGCTTTGTATCTTTGGAGAGGCAGTTTAGTCTCTATGCTACAGGATAAGCTTTGATCGGGGAAAAGGGATGCTTTGTATATCTGGGGAAATCTACGGTCTGAAATGCAAACCTGGCTTGTGAGGACAAAAGTTTGCAAAGCCACAATGCCAAAAGAATCAGGGATGTTAATGGTTATAAGAAAATGAGGATATGACAGATGATTTTTTTTTCCTTGTGATTCTTTGCTATAAACCGAAGATCGAGGAAGTCTACAAACACACTTGATCCCAAGAGCTAAGGCAGGATCTGAAATTACAACATGCGTAATCTTACCCTATGATATCCTGTGGTAAAATAGAGGACATGAATTCTGTACATCACAGGAAAGTATCCACATGGACAGTGTCTCTATGGTAGCAGATGGGCTGCTCAAAGTGATTGCATGGGAACTTATCTGAAGTAGGAGGGCAAAATTACAAGGGGGGGAAAAAGATTCAGTCTTACATTTGCAGTGCTGGATTAAAAAGGGACTTGAGGAGCCAAGAGCAAAGGTATGATGTCAAGATCCAGGGCAATGAGAGCTCTTTGCTTTCTCTCTTTGCTTTCCATGTGGAGTGGGGGGCTGCTGAAGTGCGGACTCCTGGTGGGGCTCTGCCACCATCGCCACTCTCCAGGAAAACAGGGGAACAGTGGCCCTTACATTTCATTCCTGAGGCTTTCATGGACTTTCTGTTGTATCATTAGCAACCCGCAGCACCAATCCCTTTACTGCAGATTGGAAATACTTATATTCTCTCTCCTATTGCTTTGCTCCCACTCTTTTCTCCTTTAGAGCACAAGGTCTTTGGGACAAGGAGTTTTTTCTTCTGCACATAGATACAGGGTCTCTCAGGTGGCCCATCTATCCTACTCAGGGCTTTCAAATACCACTGTAATAACATCCAGTTGAAATAAGCTGTGTCCCAAGGAGCTGTAAAGCCATCTGTCTCCACAGGACTTTGCAGATCTCTGCCCTCTTTTCTGTACATCCACAGCAGGCTGCACGCATCTTAAGCAGCTACTGATATACTGAGTGGATCCTAGAGCCTTCTGGAGATGGGGATAAATGGGAAAAGATAGAAGCTATCATTTTAAAGAAGCTAGCCCAGGCATGAGGAAAAAAAGCAATTTATGATTTTATGCTGGGTATTTGCAGCTTTAGCTTGTGAGAAGTGTGAGCAGATATACCGACCAGGGCATGCTAAATACTTGCCACTTATGCTGCTATGAACGATCTTATACCACATTAAAAAAAGCTGGGATGAGGGAGAAAGTATTTCTTTTGGAAGAGATCTGCTGTTTCCAGAAAGGAACATCACTTTATCAGGTTGCTTAGAAGCCATTTCTTAAGAGGCTATTCTGTTTCCTTGTGACCTTGACAGCCTCTCTTCAGAGAACACTGATATAGATCAGGGATTTGATGAACGCTTGGAAAGAAAACAGGTAATGAACGCGTTGGCATTGCTCAAGCCCCGTGAGTCTGCTAAATCAAATCTTAAAGAGCACTAAAGCCACTGGGGAAAGTCACGAAAGAAGAACATTTGAATTCTCAAGACTCCTCATGAGGGAATTGAAGTAGCAACCCTGTACTGAGGAAGCCCCCTTGCAGGCAGAGTTCTTGTTAGTTTTCATGCCTACGTATATATATCTGTTTGTATTAATAGTCATTAAGTGTGTATTAATATTTATCTACGTGCACCCACTTGCATGAGGAGATACATAGTCATGTGCGGTTCTGAGCCCTTGAAAACAATCTGTGGGTTTGTCCTCTTCCCATGGGCATAGAGCAGGAGCTGTTGGGAGGGAGCAGGTGCTCGAAGGCAGAAGTGAAGTATTGCTCTGAGCCTCTCTGGTCCGTAAGAAGATGCCCCAGGTGTCCTGCAATGTGTGCTCCGGGAGACAGGGTGGGCATAGCTGAAAATGGAGTTTTTTTAAGAGCATGGTGAGAATATTCTGCCTTCCTGAAGTGACACGAGCCGTAGAAATGAAAGTTTGTCCCCTTACTGCTTCATGGTGAGAAGGAGTCTGTGGAGGATGACAGCAGTACTAACAACCTGTCCCCATCCTCCCCACTTCTCCTCAGCCCCCAGAGTCAAGCTGTTATTAGGCTTTGGGGTCCTGGTGAAGTTTCAGCCCACGAACACCCAGCTCACACGTGCATTTGACAACATTTTGCCATGAGTGACGACAGCTTCCATACCTGTGCATGCACATAGCTGTGTACTTAGGCAAAATATTGTAAATGAATACGAACCATATTTAAGATATAGTTTTTGATGAAATTAAGTATTCAGGGAACTGGGGTTGTTTAGCCTGGAGAAAAGGAGGCTGAGGGGAGATCTTATCGTTCTCTACAACTACCTGAAAGGAGGTTGTGGTGAGGTGGGGGTCAGTCTCTTCTCCCAAGTAACAGGTGACAGGACAAGAAAATGGCCTCAAGTTGCACCAGGAGGTATTTAGATTGGATATCACTAAAAAATTACTCACCAAAAGGATTGTCAAGCATTGGAACAAGCTGCCCGGGGAAGTGGTTGAGTGACCATACCTGGGGGTTTTTAAAAGGCAGGAAGTTATAGTGCTGAGGAACATGGTTTAGTGGTGGATTTGGCTGTGTTAGGTTTATGGTTGGACTCAATGATTTTAAAGGTCTTTTACAACCTAAATGATCCTATGATTCTGTGATCCTTTTTTGTTCTGTAAGAACAAAATTCCCGCTTAGCTTCTCCATCTTGGCATATATTATTACCTTGTTCATAGAAACACTTATAGTTCATCGCTCCCCAGATAACAGCACACTACTCTACTTTGTAATCCCAGTGTCCGCAAGCCACATGCAGGGAAAGCTCATTACTGAGGCAAACTTCAGCAAATTAAATGATATATACTGCTGAAACAGTTGCACATGTAACACTAGCATTCACTTTTTGTGTTGTCTTATGTCGATAATGTCAGACTGAGCATACAAATGTCCTTTAATTTGAGCATTATTATATTTTAGCAAAATGTAAAGGGTGCCCCCCCCAAGCCAGCATGCCATCTTTGCCCACCACCAGCTAAAATTCTAGAGAAGCAATAATGTAAGTGCAGCGACTTATATTTCAACAAGCATTGGTCATGAACTACATGCTACTGCAGCATTTGAAAATCAGTAGATGGAGACGGCAGAGGATGAACTCTTAGTCCCAGAGAAGTCACTATAGAAACCCTCCCAGCCATAACGATGCCTGGGGTTTGCTGGGCTCATCTGCAATGGTTCTCCTGGGGACTGAGCTTCATGCCCTGAGCATGCCAGCCTGCAGCCGGCCAGCTGAGGGCTCCTCATCTTCTCAGTGCAAAGGGGAACAGGCTGACTTCTCCCTCAAGATGGTCTGTGTCCACTGAAGGCTCAGTGTGGTCACTTCTTTGGCTGTGAAAGCCTGTCTGTCTGCCTGTGCTCAGTGTCAATGCCAGTGTACTTATGTAGGGAAATAAAAGTCAGGTGATTTAGCCCCTTAACAACTTACTGGCCAAGCTAGCTTATCCGTGTTAATGAAGTCTCTTATGAACACCAAAGAAATGGTGTAATAATGGGTAGACAAATGTTTGTTGCGTTGACAAAAGCCTAAACAGAGTTTGTTGCATTTGTTAACACGCTGAGCAAACTTCCCAAAGCCCCTGAAAGATGATAGGAGTAGAGTATGGACTGCTTGTCTACAGGAGCAGGCTTTGTACATCCCTTCT